TAGTATAACTCTTTCTCGATGCCGACAAGCTATTGGGATTTTGCTTTTTGACTATAAAAGTTGGACTCCGCCATTTTTCTATATAAAAAATAATAAAGAACCAATTTGCTTACATTGATGATAGTGCTAACTAAAGATCCTTTGAATATAGTTTGAATATAGATTGTAACAAGTCTTGATTTGTCTTCAATAATTAAATGGGCGAAATACTCCACGCACGGGAAAGTCGTCAAGCTCAAGGGTTTCATGATTAGACATTGAACACATTTGATATGATGTTTGGCTCAAATTATATAGGCGGGCTTGGCCCGCCCAGATATTTGGGAAAACAATTGACCTCAGACCTGGCCCGTATCTGTGTTTGTGCATGTTTAAATTGGAATAACTAGTTTACCAACATTATCATATTAATAATCAAAAAAGTTTGGTGCTGCGGAGTGCATGTTTTGTTAAGTTTGTAATGATAAAAGACTCGTTTTGCCACTAAATATTTATTGGGTGTTTCAAAGGGGCAACGACCCCTTGGCGGGGGGGGGGGGGGGGGGGGGGGGGGGTTTGGGGACAGCCCTCTCGGAAGAGGGGTTCAATGGGTGGTAGCCCATGCGAGGTCCAAAGCGGTATAATAAAATCTGAATCACATCTCTTGAATATTTTTGCTTAATAGACACGAACATTGGAGAGAGGCACAAAATGATGAACTATAGTTCTCTATTTCCCGCATCTATAAAACATCTGTATGATTTGTTGAAAGAAAAGGTTCAAAATTATCACAACCATTACATAGTTTGTTTTTTAAATTCTCTCTAAATTGCATTCGATTGGAAGATTTATGTGAACTGCCAAACAATTTCGATATGAAAGAGAATACACGCTTTCAAAGAATCCTAGTATTAACTAAAATTTCCTAACACAGATTGTCTACTATTAATCCTAAATTTGTAATGAGTAAACAAAAAGGTTAGAGAATACAGATATTTTTTTTAAAACGCATGCTATTCTTAAAGTAAAAAAGTCAAGGTGGATGGAACATTCCTCCAACTCACCAGGAAAAAGAATGTAGAATTAAATGTCTAACAGTAAAATAAAACAATAGAGAAAATAAATGACTAAGGCACCTTTAAAATATAACTTTGATGTAGTGTCGGCCACCAAAGTCCAAATGCCAACACCAGAGACAGCGAAGTTCATCTGCAATAGAGCAGCAACGACTATCTAAGGTAGCTGAAGTCCCGGAGGATAGAAAAATAAATGACAAGAGTGACGAAATGCGACAACTGAGTTGGAAAGGTATATGCAAAGAACTCAACTTTGAAGTCCAAAAGGATAGTTTCCACAAAACCCATATCAAAGCAACCGCACTAAGCAGCATACCCAAAAAAAGGATCAGAGCAAGGCGAGCAGTGAAACACCGTACTTCAAAGATGTTGTCGACGTAAAGGCATGCCAACATAAGTAGATCGAGCAAATGGAATAAGATGTAGCTGAAGATGCGGGCCTCTAAGGTGTAAGAGGTCTCCCCAAACGCGATGGAGTAGGGAATACGTTGTAGACCTCATCCCGCACACAGTAGAGAGATTTTATTACACTTAAAAGTAGGTAGAAGTAGCGATGGAGTTCGTAAGTTAATCAGCTTGTGATGCCTAACATAATTAGAATACCTTGAGGACCAAAGTTAGTTAATACAAGTCTACTCAACCTGCCAAGCCAAATGACAATGACCTGGGCCAACTCGACCACTTCACGGTTTTAGACATAACTATTTTTTCTTTGATTTTCTATTTTAAAAACATCTGACTCATAAAAAAGGAAAAATTCTTTCGTGGTCCTCAAGAGTTAGGTTCATGCTCATTTTATAAACCTTGATACATAAAATGATTATATGTAGTGAACTTGTATAATGAAAAAAATTAATTATGAGCCCATGGAAATAATTGTGAGAAAGTCCACATTTCATATATGACCTTAGAACCATATTAACAAAACCCCAAAAAAACATGAACTAACACACGCTTGTAAAATAAGCCAAGCAATATAGGGTGTTTGTGTTGTGACTTACTCTTATTGCCGACACGTAATTTCTAAGTTATAAAACTCTTATAAGTTAAATAGTTTTTTGTGTAAGCAAAATTGTTAGACAACTAATTATGGTTAATACTAATTGTTGTAGACTTTGTATTATTAATCAATTTCTATTATTGTTTTCTAATTCTAGTTGGGATTGTATTCCCTCCCTATATATACTTTATATTGTATTCCTTATTTCTTGAGTAATACAATTGATTCCATTATTCAATATGGTATCGTATCACAAGGTATCCTTTTTTCACACAGCTTAATCACCGCCCTTACAATTGTCGTTCATCTACAGCTGCACGGCTTAATCGACACCATCAGGCTTGGTCATCCGTCTACTTCCATTGACCGTCCCACATCGTCCTTCTGCTAACCAACATTGTCATCATCATCACTGAAGTCTCTCCATTCTTAGTCGTCGACTGCCAAGGCTACGCTTGAGGAACATTGACAATTAGGTTATGTTGATGGCACTAAAAAACCCCCACCGATGCTGATTTTAGATGAGAAAGCACTGGTGAGTGCTGATAAATAGTCGGTCATGAAACCAAATCCGACATATGAATAGTGGATTATTATTGATGCTCAACTTCGTGCATCTCTCCTTGCCCTCTTCTCACCAACAATCCAGAATTTCGTCCATCTCTTTTCTACTGCTACTGAAATCTGGAGTCACTTACATCAGAGGATAACTCTTTGTCCCGAACTCATATATTTCAGCTCAAAGAACAACATCACAGTCTTAGGAAGGATCAATCTACCATGCAAGCTTATCTTCATGCTGCACTTTGTATTGTTACACCTCTCGCTCTTGCACGTGAACCAGTACCAAAACAGGATATTATTCTTAGTGTTTTGCGTGGCTTGCCCTCGAAATATGCCTCAATTAAAGAAAATATTGAAACGAATATTGCTAATCTCACCTTTAACAAGGTTTCCTCTTCTCTATTGCCTGATGATGATTGAGTTTTTCGGTAAGTTAACCTTCCCAATGAAGGGTTAGTTTTCTCCGAGTGTCGTGTCTCTCGAGGAGTGGACGAAGGGAATTAGCTAATTTTTCTAACTAGACGAAGGTTAAGACGGGTCTGAAAGTCTTCTCGATTTGATTTGAAAATAATAATAAACTAACTACTCGGTGCTTTTGATAGAAAGAAAATAAATAGTACGGGCATAGGACTAGACTTCGGGCCAAGGCATCATCTGAGTTAACTACTGTTGTCACATATTTAATCAATAATTGGAATAATAATATTTCTGTCACAAATATTTCATTAACTTATCCTTTCTCAAGGCAATATTAATGTGTTCTAAAAAGTTTGGCTGAATTAATTTTATATCCTCATAGGCAAGGCAAAAACTAATTTCCAATTATTAATTAATTTTTCTCTCGACATAATTAATTAATTTAACAATAAAAATAATTCTAGAACAGTTATTCCAACTATTAAATAAACATACAGAGTATATGCCCAAATTTAGCCAGGACCCTAATTTGGGTCCTAACCCATAGTAAATATTAACAGTGCATAAAATAAAAGAACATTTTATTAAAAATTATAAAAATAAACTTACAACCGAGAGCAGAGTCGGAGCCACTTTTGGACAACCGGAACAAAACTAAATTAAAATATAAAAATATAATTGAGAAAAGAGCGGAAAATGGAGTCCCGGGCCTTAAAGACCCAGAAGAACGCTTGGTTAGAATGAAGGGGCGAAGCCCTCCTTTTATAACTAGACCGATTCAGAATATTCGAGATCGGGCAGAATGCTGCCAATTAGGTGCTCTTAGGCTCACCCGAATAAACCTTTCCACATAATGACCCAGTAGGAATGGTGGGACAAGTTCGGCTCCCGAAGGCGTCACCCTTTGCATCCACTTAAGTACCATTTCAGCTTAGACAGTCATTTCGTACACGGTGTAGAGATCACTATTAATATGTAAAATGAAACAAAGAGTATAAAAATATTTTCAAAAAAAAAAAATTCCAAAACAAATTAAAATATTCTGTACCAAACTCCAATATCCCCACACTTAGGGTTGACCTCGCCCTCGAGGTCATTAAGCGATAAAAACAAGAGTTTGGGACAAAGACAATTCTCATTTTTTTGTTCTTTTGAAAATGTTTTTTTACAAAAATTTTATGCACAAAAGTTAGTCATTTATTTTTTTTGTTGAGTCAAAATGGTTCACCAGCATTCCTATTTCCAAGCTTCACCTGCACACACACACACAAAAACGCGTAAAAAGGAAAAAGAAAATTAAAATTTATTCACTTGGGTTGCCTCCCAAGAAGCGATTCTCTAACGTCACTAGCTTGACGTTAGCCCGTTTTTTACGAGACTTACCGATCCAAGAGTCATAAAGTTTGACCTTTTTGACTCTGTTCTGATGTCACCTTTGTTCTGTTCTTTTGTAGTCAAAGTCCAGGATCTTTGACTCATTCCTGCGGCGTGGTGGCAACAGGAAAAATGGAGGAGACTTGTCGTCGATGGATGGTGGTGGGAGTCTCCTCGGTGTATCCACATCATTGGCCTTTAGTGCCAGGATCTGACTTTCCCAGTCTTCAATGGGCTGACTTTCAGTTGCTCGCTCGATGATTACAACATGTCTTTCCCTTGAGTGTTCAGTGATAGTTTCTATAGACGGAATGGGTTCAGCATCACAAAGTATTTTATCGTCTATAGATTCGTCAAACTCATCATTATCGGAATCAAGGGGGTCGGTGGTGGGCTCGGATTTCTCCAGAACAGGTTCCTCTGGAGAAGTGTCTTCAACACATGTTAGGAGGATGGGTTCCCCCAACATTTCTAGTGCAGCGGGTGAAGGCGATTCCGAGACAGGAACCTCGGTATGCTTCACCTCTTGTACGATTTGACTTTTTGGGCTTTCACGAAGCATCACCACTATACCTCGTGCAATCATTTCTGCAAGTGTTATCTTGTTTTCGATATACAGTGGTGATGGAGTTTGTGGATATTCAAGAATTGAGACATTGTTGGATTTAGTTTCAGATTCCGTCTCAGATTCTTCATCCTCTGGGGGCAATCTCTTCCCATATCCTATGTAGGCTCATGTCAAGTCTCTACCCCTTCTGACATCTTTACCCTCTCTAATCTCTTTCATGTTCCTAACATACAAACTCATCTCTTATTCGTTCACCAATTTACCACTAACAATAATTGTTCTAGTCTTTTAAGTCTAAAGAATTTATGATCCTGGAAAATCCTACCTACAAAGTTATATACAAAGGCCCATGTGAGGGGGTAACTCCGTAAAGGCAACATCTCATCAGTGCACTGTAGGTATGGTCATCCATTGTTTCAAGTTACAAAATTGTTTTTTACTTAGTCAAGGGTCTATCTAGAGTTTGATGTTTTTCAGTGTGATTCTTGTTCCATGTCAAAGTCTGATAAATTACCTTTTCCGTTATCTACTTCTGTTATTACCAATTAATACATTTTGATGTTTGGGGTCCTACATCTATTCCTTCATTTGGTGGTTATCAATTTCACATTAATTTTGTGGATGATTTTACATAATTTTGTTGGTTGTACCATCTTAATAAAAAATCTGATGCTTTCCATGTTTTTCACAATTTTCATTCTATGATCACAAGTCAATTCAGCACAAACATAAAAACTTTCCAAACTGATAATGGTCGCGAAAATGTGAACCGTCAGTTTGGTCTCTTTTTACAACATTTGGTGGTCCTTCACCATATGTCTTGCCCATATACACCTAAACATAATGGGGTAGCTGAGTGTAAACATCACCATCTTATTGAAACTACGGTCACCCTTCTCTACACTTGTCTCTTCCAGCTACCTTTTGGGTTTAAACCTTGGCTACAACGAGTTACCTTATTAATCATATGCCCAAACAATATCTGCAAAATAAGTCTCCCTTTGAGATTTTGTATCACACATGTCCTACCCAGTCTCATCTTCGTGTCTTCAGGTGTCTTGCCTAGCCTTATCTAAGACATGAAAATAGACCATAAGTTACAACCACGTTCCAAACATTGTGTCCTTCTTGGGTATGGCCAGTTATCCAAAGGATATCGTTGTTATGACATGTCAACTAGTCGAGTCTATGTGTCTTGTCATGTTCAGTTCAATGAACATGAGTTTCCCTACTCGGTATCCACACCCTCCCCACCACCCTAATCTTTGTTTGGTATTTTACCTCTCTTCCCTCCTATTTCTTCTGTGTCCTTAAATCGCACTCACATGGACCTACCACACGCTACGACCTCTCCACCCGAAACTGTCCACTCATCTACCAGACTGACACTGCCCAGCTCCCCGACCATTCCTCCTGGTTTCCTGCCCAAGCATCCACCCCCTTAGCCCGACACACACAATCTTCCACCTAAAACTGCCCCTCACCGGGAACACGCCCAACTCGTCTTACACGCCTAACCCTACATGTCTTCGTGTTTTATGCCTCAACCCGTACGGCCTTCCCCCTTATTATAACCTACTCACCCAATGATGACCCGTGCCAAAAGTGGCATTTTATAACCAAAACTTTTTTGTACCTCTCTTAACATACTTGTCTCTTCCTGTCCTTGAGCCCACAACTTTTAGAGAAGCCTCCCAAAATGAGGTTTGGCATCGTGCTATGGATGAGGAGTATTCAGCTTTGATCAAACAGAACACATGGTTGCTTGTTCCAAGGCCTTTGGATCAAGCTCTGATTGGCTCTAAGTGGGTCTACAAAGTTAAACATAATGCAGATGGCTTGGTCTCGCGGTATAAAGCGTGCCTCGTGGCAAAAGGGTACACTCAAGAGTATGGACTTGACTATTCAGAAATATTTAGTCATTTTGTTAAACAATAGACTATATGCATTGTTTTCTCTCTTGTTGTGCATTATGATTGGCCACTACGTCATATTGATTCCCAATTCCCAACATCGACCAGAGACACCAACCTCCTCGTTATGTTCATTCCCAGTTCCCTTGCCATGTGTGTAAGCTCACAAAGTCGCTTTGTGGCTTAAAAGAGGCACCACGAGCGTGGTTTGAACGCCTCTCTCATTTTTTGCGTGCTTATGGGTTTTACATGAACAAGCACAATATCAGTCTCTTTGTTTTACATGGCTCATCTGGGTCCTTATTTCTGCTGGTATATGTTGATGATATTATTTTTACAGGCATTTCCCCCGTGTTTTTTTCAGGATCCTACATTATTTCGTAGTCTAGTTGGAGGTCTTCAATATCTCACTATTACTATACCTAACATTCAGTTTGTTGGAAATTACGTCTGTCAACGCATGCATAACCCGATAGAAAATGACTTTCAAAGCGTGAAGAGGATTATGCGTTTTGTTAAGGGGATTGTTGATCGAGGTCTCGTGTTGCAGTATGGCGATCGAAAGCTTTGAGCACACTCAGATTTAGATTGGGCAAATGACATGTCTGAAGGACATTCCATCATTGGCTATCTTGTTTATCTTGGATGAAATCTAATCTCATGCAACATTGAGAAGGAATCACATGTGTCCAAGTCCTCCACCGGAGCTGAACGAGGAGCCTTTTTGTCTACATCTTCTAAAGTTAAGTGGATTACCTATGTTCTAAATGATCTCCGTATACAAGTTTATCCTCCACACTTGTTTTGTGACAAGCAATCTGCTATTTATCTCACAAAGAATCCTGTGTTCCAAAAACGTATGAAGCATTTAGGTACAGATTGTCAATTTGTTAGAGAAGAAGTTATTAATGGTTCTATGAGTGTATCTTGTGTTCTCTCTGAAGACTAGTTTGCTGATTTACGGGCAAGCCGATGCCGAAACCAAGTTTTCGATCTCTTTTCTGCAAGCTTCCGTACGTGACACGGCATTCAGGCAACTAATTATGGTCAATCCTAATTGTGCTACACTTTGTATTTTTAAAAATTTCCATGATTGTTTCCTAGTTCTAGTTGAGATTGTATTCCCTCTCTATATATACTCTACCTTATATTCTTTACTCCTTAAGTAATACAATTCTTTCCATCATTCAATAAAAATGACTTAAATGATGGACAAATCTTTTGGGATATTTGTAAATCGTGAGGGATAGTTTTGTAAATAATCTGATGGAAATGAAGAAACAAAAAAATTAACTTAAAAAAGCTGATAGGACTTACTTCTTTTTTTCTTATAAGTAGCTTATAGGTAAGATTATATGTATAGAGAAATACGTCATCAGCTGATTTTTAAAATTAAAAATAGCTCATAAGCAGTTTTGACCAGCTTATAAGCAGAGAGAAATACTAAGATATTATCGAAATTTTTAAAAATGTACGTCATTTCAAAATAATTCAAAAGTAAAAATTGAGCATTATTTATTATTATTCTCAATACAAATATTAATATTTTATATCTATAAAAGTATTGTCATTTTTTAATATCAAGTAATATTTACTACTTATAGTTTCATATCCTAGAGTTAATTTTTTCTCCCTATTTTTCTATAATAATGATCAACTATATATGGTGTTTCTTAAACTAGGATCAAATATGGTGTTTTTATATATAGTTTCATGTTTCTTAAAGTATGGTGTTTCATAATACTAACAAAGTATGCCCTCTTATCTCTTGCCCTCTTATCTCCATCTCCCACATGAAACTTTAACAAATAATACTCCGGGTTATACATTTAAGAAACACCATACTTTGTTAGTATTATGCATTTTGGATTTACAAAGACAAAGACAAATAAAAATATTAGTTCTAGATGACAATAAAACTCTTGCAACTATAAAAAATTTGGATTTAAACAACACTTTATCGTGTACACTTTTAATTTCGATCTCAAATATTATTTATTCTATTTTGATGTTGATATCTATAGTATTAGGAATCATGTTATAAAAGCCTTTAATCCGGAAAGAAATATAACATGAAATTTTTTTAAAATCAATAAAAAATTTGTTTCATCCCGTGCGTGGCACGGGTCAAAGTACTAGTTTTTCTATAATAATGATCAACTATATATCGGTATCAAATGTTACATAGTACTCCTTCCCTCCTAAAATGTTTTTTTACACTTTATGCAAAATTAATTGAATTTTCAATTTTTTGATTTATTTTATTTAAATATTGGAAAACTAATTTATTATAAATAAAAATTATATATTTAAAAAACTACGTGAAAAGTTCTACAAAACAAGAAATGACAAAATTATTATATTTTCTCAAATAATCCATCTAAACCCAAAAATAAACAAAACCTTTTGTAACTTTTGAACAATGAAGAGTGTAATTATTTGTAGACGGAGGAAGTATATAAACACACATTAAGAGTCTATTCTTTAGAACTGACAAAAGAGAACAGGATGTTGTAGAAAATTGGAAGGAAAAAGATTAAAGTAGGAGTAAAACATAGAAAATATACCAAAATAGGACTATCATGTTTTTATTCCAGAGATATGAACTAAAATGCATTTACATTACCAAACATGATCATGTACATTACCAAAAAGTATAGTAATGTGTACATGTACAATGCCACATTACCAGCACATTACCATAATGCAAACTCTTATTTCAGGAATAAAAATATTGAACTCATATTTGGGTACTTTTTTATGTTTTAGTCCTATTCCGGGTGATTTCTAAAACTAGAAGGAACTAGAAGAACTGGAAGAAACTCAAAAAACTCTAAAAAATTGGAAAGAATAAAAAAATTTAAAAAAATTTATTTTTGTGTATTTTTATAGTATTCTCATTCTAATTCTAAACTATTATTATTATTATTATTATTATTATTATTATTATTATTATTATTATTATTATTATTATGATAATCATCATCATCATCACCACGTTATTATTAAGTATTTTTATTTTTCATTTACAAAAAAACTAATTTTGCTAAAAAGAAAATAATTATAATATAAATTTAGCATAAATATAAAAATGTTAAACTTTAAAAAGGTATTGTGGTTCTATTGCACCTTAATTTATTTATGCATTATTTATTATAAATAATATATTTGCAATTATACTTTATATATTACAAAATTTTATTTTAAATATCAGAAATGTCACATAACGTAATCAAATCTATTTTTCTTTGATGATTGACATTTTATTTTCATTGTAACTCTTATTTTTAGAATAAAGACATAGAGCTTTTTTTTTACATTTTTTATGTTTTACTCCTATTTTAGTCTTTTTCTCTGAACTATTTTGATTATCAATTTTTTTTATAAAAATTAAAAAAATGAGAAAAATTTGCGTAATAAAGGGAAAGGTGAGGGGTAATATATAAAGTTAGATTAATAAAACATTCTATGTAACTATTTTGTCCATAATTTTTTAATACAGTTTAAAATATTGGTGTTTTCTAGTTTTATCATGTAGTTTAATATACAAAAATTTTTATCTTATTTATATTAAAAAATTGAAGAAAAAATAATTACTGTGAATCATAAAAATAGTGAGACGAAAAACTAATTTATAAAATATAGTTATCAGCGTAACATTTGTAATAATAATAATAATCACATTAAAAATATATCTTTTCTATAGTAATTAGTTGGGAAGTAGAAAAAGTTTGAGGAAAATAAGAATAATTGATGAAACTGTAAGAAGTGAAAAGAACTGAAAAAAATTGAATGAAATTGAAAAGAACTATAAAAAAAATTGAAAGTGAATATTTAACCCCTAAAGAACAGTGTCTAAGGCTCCATTCCATTCAACTTATTTTTTCTGATCTGATTTTAATAAGTTCTAATCTGATCTGATCTGATCTGATCTGGTCTGATCTGATCTGATCTGATCTAATCTGATTGGATCTGATCTGATATGGTCTTATCTGATTGGATCTGATCTCATGTGATCTGATTGGATCTGATCTGATCTGATTAATTATGTTTTGATTTAAAATTCAAATCAATAATTTTGATTTGACTTTATAATAACGTTTGAAAATTGTAATGATAATTCATGTTATAATATAATCAATATTTTTCATTTAATGATTATTTTTTAATAAAATAAAATTAGTTAATACATATATATTAGAATAATCATTCATATTATAATGTAATAATATTTTTTATTTTATGATTATTTTTTTGTGAAATTAGAATATTAATTTAATATTTTAAGAATTACTTCATATATACATTAGAATAAATATTTAATTTATATATACATTAAAAAGTAATTAAATTTAGATAATCAATATATAGAAGAGATAGTATTTTTATTAAAATATCTCATCCTTATAAAAGATCAAAACTTTAGAAACTCAAATTACAAGTAGCAATAAAAATATATTTTAAAAGTACAATTAGATTGACATTGTCAATGTATTTTAAAACTAATTTTTCCGACGTCTAATAATTAACGATTACATTCTCAATTTTCTATTTAACTTGTTTCTAAAGTTTTTTCTTTTTCATTTTTAAGAATAATAATAATAATAATAATAATAATAATATAATAATAATAATAATAATAATAATAATAATTCTTGATGGGATCTGATTTTAATAAGTTCTGATTTGATATGATCTGATTGGATCTAATTTGATCTGATATGATTAGATCTGATCTGATCTGATTGAATCTAATTTAATCTGATCTGATTTTAATAAGAATAAAAAAAATATAAGCTGAACGGAACAGGGCCTAAAGTAGTAGGAAATTTTAGAATAGTTATGGATCGTTAACTGGGTTATTCTTTTCCGGTTCCAACCGGTTAACTCTAGACCTATTTATTTCTCGGGTTCGACATCGGATCCGGTTTTATTGGCCCATTGAACTATCCTGCGGAATCTATTTATTGTTGAAAGCCCACCTAAATTGCGGATGGACGATGGCCACGACGCGAGGTCTCAGACAATAAAACAACATTCTCCAACTTCACCAAGTTGTGCTTGTACACCCACACAGCGAATACGCAAGATTTAACACAGTTGAGCTATCAAAGCAAACGAAATAGGCGATGATGATCATGAGAAAGTCCACTCTTCTCCGCCTAGCCCTTCCTCGAATCCTTCAATCTCCCAGAAACCATTCATCTCTTCCGACTAGTTCTCCGATCTCCCACAGGTACCCAATCTAATTTTTTCCAGAATCACTCTCTATTCCCGCCTTTAATCGCACTAATCATACGTTTTCTTCAGCCCGTTTTTGGGATCGTTCTCGCGCCTATACTCTTCGAACGTTGATTTCAACCACTCCGACGAAAAAAGCAAGAGGCGCTTGTTCAACAGGTTTCTTAACTTGGCGAATCTTTCCTTCTTGAGATTTTTTCATTTTTTCAAAAAAGCAACTGTGAAGTTGTTGGGGCTATAAATGAAGATGGAATTTTTTATATAGACCTAACACCTTGGTATATACGTATAGTTAGACCTGGTAATCAGGTCAATCGGTTCGGTTCCGGTTTGGGTCATTTCAGTTCGGGTCTCTTTCGGATATATGTTATAATCGATTCGGGTCAGTTCGGTTCCGGGTTTATTTCGGTTTAATTGGTTTTCGGTTTCGGTTCGGGTTTATATCGTTTCGGGTTTGTATCGGTTCGGGTTTATATCGGTTTGGATTTATATCGGTTCGGGTTTATATCGGTTCAGGTTTGTATCAATTCGGGTTGTATTGATTTGGGTTTATATAGATTTGAGTTTATATCGGTTTAAATTTATATTAGTTCAAGTATAATTTAAACACATACTAATAAATGAATAATATCACATAATAAATTTAGTTAATTTAGTTAACTATAATTTTTATATACTTTCTATAAAAAATACAAAAATATTTTAACTTAAGTTATAAAATACAAAGTAAAAGATTTGTACATGAAAATAGTTACATGGTTTGCACCCATAATTTAAATATGTTTTTTTAGAAACACATCAACATATGTAAAAATATATAGGTAATTCGTTTTTTCCAAATTCATTTGATAAATGAAATGTTAATGAATTTGATCAATTTCGGGTCTAATCGGTTTCGGGTCTAATCGGTTCCGGATTTAACCAGGTTCGGGTTTAACCAGGTTCGGGTTTAATCAGTTCGGGTTTAATCGAATTCGGGTCTAAATCGGGTCTGAATACATTCGGTTCGGGTTCGGTTCAAATCATTTCGGGTGTTCGGTTCTATTTCGGTTCTTCAGTTTTCGGGTCAATTCAGGTTCGGTTTCGGGTTATTCGGTTCGGGTTATCGGGTCCGGGTCAGTTTTGCCAGGTCTACGTATAGTCATCACTTCGTGTTAGAGTGCATCCTACATCGGAAGTTCAGGAGTAAAATAATCGGTATATAAACTCTTGAGTTGAACTAACTAATCGATTGGATTCAATCTTTTAATATGATTCAGCCCAAGTGTCTTATTGTCCAATCCAATGATCCATTCCCCATCTTAAATTCTATCAGTCCTTATGATGGTGGGGTCTACTCTTCTGTATATCATAAATAGAGGTTGCAATCGGGTCAATCAGATCGGTTTCGGATTGAATTTTTTTGGTTCAAATCGATTTAATTTTGGTTCGAATTTGATTCGGCTCTATACATTTTTTGGTTTCAGTTCGGTTTAGATACGGTTCGGATATAAATTGGTTTGGATAGATTTCGGTTCGGATACAATTTGAATCAGATATTTCTATATAGGACGGAATGATATCTATTTTGACTTTTAAAAAAATTTAATACATGGATATTTTTATGCTGACTTTTTTAAAATACATTTGATGATGGGTAAAAGTAAGATGTGATAGGTAGATTATTATTAAAAATGTATATATGATATGATAGGTAGGATAACAATTTGTAAGGGAAAAATGGTTTTTCAAAATAAAGGACTTTGTGGCACAAGAAAGAGAAAGAAAGGAGAATGTTTTTGGGAAGAAGTGAGTATTTTTCTTTATGTTTAGGGTTAGTGTAAATCACTAGTTACCGAGTACAAGGTAATACATAGGGTGTGTTCATTTCGGTTTAAAAAATTAACTTCTTAATTTATCTAACTTCTTTCAGTTTCATCCAACTATTCCATTTTCTTCCAACGACTTAAAAAAATATATTTACATATGATGACTATAAAATAACGTTATATATCCAAATTTTTAACATAACACTTTAAACACGGAAAATGATGAATTCTTTTTCATATCTCAAATTAGTTTTTTTACATATTTATTTAGGTGATCATTTAATTGAGTGATTTTTCTAACACTTCATTTTTTTAACATTTTTCAACTCCTTCGAGTTTCCTCTAACATCTAACTTTAGACTTCCAACCGATAAAGATAGAGCTTTAAATGGCAAATTCCTGAGTGGTTCTTAGGTTCACACTCATGGACCTTAGTAAAACAACACGAGTTGGGCAATAAAGAAAAGATCTACATGTAAGCCCACGAAGAGTGTGAGAAGGTCTACTTCACATGTGGACCTTAAGACCACTGAAACACAACTCACGAAGGCAAATTTTTATATGCACCCTAGGTCCATATAAGAACCATAGCCCTTTTCACATAAACAATAAATTATTATAGAGATGCACATTTTTTTTTTCATTTTATTAAATTGCTTATGTAAGAAGGTTCCTGGTGCACCTTAGGTGGATGATCGCTCCTCTGCGAATAAGGCCTAAGTATGAGGTTTTCTTGCCTTGTGTGTAGGCTTCTATACAGGAGCAAACAGCGAGGGTACCTAGAGTTGGACCTCATTCTGGGAGATTGGGTGGAGGAGAATATCAATTCTATGGATGTAAATGGAATAAAGGCTCTTGTTCATGTTCTTGATCTGGTATTTTTTGTTAATTTTTTCTCTTTTTTCACCATTCTTACTCATTTACTTCCTTATTTTGTTACCTGCAATTATACGTTGTGGTTTACAATTGTAATCCGTGTAAAGATTGGTCCTTTGACGAGCTCGTGTATACTTATTTATTATTTGTTCTTGCTTTAAGAAACTGAGAGGGAGTGGTATGTTTCTCATTCTGTTCCTTATCAGTTACTTCTGAAAACCAGTAGTTACTAAGAGTTTTCTATCAATGAAGGAGACATGGGGTGCATGATGTCATAGAAATGTTCTTAATTCCATTTCTCAACCAGTGGGTGGCGCCTTTAGGCCCATTACGAAAACCTTACCTGAAAAAAATCTAATAAATTTGGATTTTGCTTTGCATTTTACTGGCCATTTTTCATATATCTTTTTTTTCTTTCCTACTATTGTCCTGTTCCAAACACAGCATGTGGGCATTTATGCTAGTATTCTGGTAGAGCAAAACATTAATTTATAGCTACACAAGGTTGTTGGTAATCCTTCTAGTCAAAAGTTCAAACTTGTGGTTGGAGACATATGCTCTAACATGTCTTTGCACCTAAACATCAACTTTTTTAATACTAGTTGACGTGAGATTTGAATTCGTGACATCTAGGTCAATAATGCTCTAATACTTCATCCATGAACCGGTACAACCAAAAAACTCAAGCTTGTGCTTAGAGGCGTATGAAAGGTTTTATAAAACTCTTAATAACATTAATGAATTATTAACACGAGGTTATTTATTCTCTTGGCTGCAGGAGAATCCCGATTTGTGGAAGTGGTTGACCGGTCAGGAGCAAGCCCCGGACGCAATCAGAACCAATCCTGTAAGCAAACTGAACAGATTGCAGATGATGCCAATTTACTTATCTGAATCCTGAACCCCTTAGTTTTTTTGTAGTATTAAACTGCATAAAGCTTTTCTTTTTTCCTTTCTCCTCTAGGTGTTCAGCGCTGTACATGAAAAGGTCATGAACAACCTTGACAAACACACAGCTCCCGAGACGCGAAGTACCCCAGGACAGGCATGGGTGAGGGGGTGGGATGATTACAAAAGAGGCCGAGATGGCCCTATCGCCGGGAATCAGTAGAGCTTTATCTTGGGGCACAACTACAAGTTTTATAACGTACTCGTATATAGAAAAATGGCACAAAGTATGATATGATTAAATTTTCTGTATATTTTGAACACTTCCAATCACACAAATAAGACCATTGTGGGAGAACCTTTTAGCTCTGAGTGTTATGACTCAGGTTGAGATTTGATGTTATTACTGTTATGGATAAACCCAAAAAAATGATGAGCTCAGGCTCTCGTCTCTTGAATCTGCCTAGTTGAATTTCTGAGTTCAAGTTACTTTTTTTAAAGAGGCAAATAGTCTGGTGCCTTTTTGTACTTTGGGTCTTTGGGATATGAGTACCGCGACATCTTTTCGAATTTTATTTGTAAAATTTACATGGTTTTGAAATCTTGTACGCTCTATCTCTCTAATTCCTTGCATTTTTTGTGGTGAAGAGGAGAGAGTATTGGTGTCATTTTCTAAATCACGTGGAACATCGAGAGCAAGTTTTTCTATTTTTTTCATTTTTGATTTCTTTTATCGTCTTGCTTTTTTCTTCCTTTTGTTTCATTTTTTCACATAATGTTTTCAAATTTAAAAAAAAAGTGTTTGAAATAAAAAAATAAATGAAATTAAAAAATTAAAATATTACCCATCCATCTCAAATAAATCATTTTTTTTATTTAAAAAAACTTCTTAAACACGGACTCGTGTCTACTTTCACTATGCTTTGTAGATGCTCATATTGAGAAGTGGGAGATTCATGATAAGTACCCTGAAAAAGAGATATTCGACCCAAAAGAAGACTCAGAGAGCACCAGGAAGCCCAAACCTAGTAGCCTTGGAGGTAAAATAATAGTTGCCTTGCTCCTGTCATATGGCCTCGTGTAATACGTTCAGGGCTTGTTGAGAGAATTTCGGGCCCCTGACGAGGCGAAAAAGGACCATTAGCTCTAACAAATTAAATTATATAAAATAATTTGGTCCTTTACATATAAAGTAATTTTGTTTCAACGGTAAACAATAATGGGTAAAATTCAATTTTTTTCAAAGTTTTATTGTTTAACAAAATATATAATATCAGTGATATTGTGTATTGTTTTCAAAAAAAATAATGGCTTTTACTGTTTTCTTTTTACAATTTTTTTTGTTTCAATTTGTTTTATTGTTTTCAAAGTTTTGCATTGTTTAAGATTGCATACAAACTTTCCTACTTTGTCATTGTCAGTTGTTAGAAGATCAACAAAACAGATGGCTCACTTACTTGCTAGGCAGTCTAATTCTATGTTTTATTTTCTAGAATAGTTGTATGTCCCTCTAGTGTGTGTTTGTTGTAACTCCAGTTTGTGTATGTCCCTCGAGTGTGTATTGTTTACTCATTGACACAGTGCTACTCTAGCCAATCATGATTTGGGGTGGGGGCACTGGTTTAGGGCGGGGGAGGGTTAGGGGTGTAGAAACTGTCAATTTTTCAAACGAAGTATAATAGGCCATTGTTGTCATAATATGATAGCAATTCTTGTGTGTGTGTGTGTGTGTGTCTATAAAGAAGATCTTTGGGTCATTAAAGAAGCAACCCTCGTTAAGACACTGGAGGGTAAGGCAGTCAAAGCTACAAGGGATGCTATGAAGAGTGCACAATCCATTTGCGCAATTAAGTTGAGAGGTACACGACATCCGGTTCTGCTATGTTGTGCAAATATCGACGAACCAATAATAAGGAACATGTGTGGTCACCTCATTGACTATGAGTGATCGGGAGGATATCCTGGGATTAATGGGCCTCCTAGACTTCCTACTTCACTTTGTTTTTGGCTATTCTTGTTATTTTAATTGTTGTAATAAGGTGGAGGTACTGTCCTATACAACTGCTGGTTCATTGGTGATGTATTGGTTTTATTCTTCTTAAATAGTGGCCTACTGTTGGTTTGTATAGGGGCCGGTTCAAATGAGAATGCACCTTGGTGAAAGAAATAAGAATAAAATCTAGTCTTTGGATCTGATGCATCGTGCGGCTCAGATTGCATCATGCACTTAAATTTTGAGATAGTGCATTTTTAAAGGCTTATATTGCATTTCGACATGATGCATTTTCAAACCATTTTGGTGCACCTAATTTTGATGCAATCCTGGTCCTTAGATCTCACAATCTAAAACACCATATTCATTCTCATTTCTTTCATAAGATCGCATTCTTACCTGAACCTATATATATATATATATATATATATATATATATATATATATATATATATATATATATATATATATATATTTTATAGACACACACACACACACACAGATATATATATATATATATATATATATATTAATGAAGCTAGCTTTTTATTGATTAGCGAAAGAAAGGAAGCATTACATCAGCTGTGATTGCTCCCTGAACATGTGGGGGAGCAATGAAAAAAGAAATACAAGGAGTAAAAAGGTAATGTTGGCTGGCCCATTTGGCCAAATGATGGGCTCCCATATTTCCCTCTCGAGGTATGTGGGAGATCTTTTGACCCGAATGTGAGAAAGCATGGAGGAGAGTTATCCAAAGTTCATGGTTGACTCCCGGGTTTTTGCGACTAGAAATTGACTTGGCTAGACTTTTGCAGTCAGTGTTGGCCCATATATATCTTCCAAAATGTGCGGCCCATTGCATGGCAATGGCTAAAGCTTTTGCCTCACCTTGTAAGGCAGTTGTTTCTTCAATCTTCCATGTTCCCGCTGCAATGAAAGTGCCATTTCCTCTGCGTATATATATATATATATATATATATATATATATATATATATATATATATATATATATATATATATATATATATATATATATATATATATATATATATATATATATAGAAGTGGCAATCGGATCAACCGGATCGGTTTCGGGATGGATTTTTTCGGTTCAGATATCTTTCGGTTATATGTTATAATCGGTTCGGTTCGATTCAGATCGGTTAAATTTCGGTTCGGATTTGATTTCGGTTCTATACATTTTTCGGTTCGGTTCGGATTCGAGTCGGTTCAGATACGGTTCGGTTATAAATCGGTTCGGATAAATTTCGGTTCATATACAATTTGATTCGGATATATTTCGGTTTCGAGTCTAGTTCGGTTCGGATATATTTCGGTATCAGATCAAATATATTTTGGATATATATTATTTTCTAATTAAAATTTAACTATTTGTGTTTCTTTTTATGTTTTATCACATTTATCAATCTATCATCAATTCAATACCTCATACTATTTTATATGTTTTTCTAGTGATATTATCTCTACCCTAAATAATCTTCCCTTTTTGACTTTTAGTCATATTTTACAAATTTGGACTATAAATTATGAAAACATATATATTTAATTATGATATAAATTTAATATAATTAAATTGATTTTAAAATTTAGTTTTGAAATATCAAATTTTTCTCACATATACTACTCCGTAATATACTTATGTACATAAAGGAAAGGATAAAAGATAAATTCAAATAGTCTTATGTTCCATTTGAATACAATGTGGTAAAAATTGAGTAAATTTGGGTGAAATTAAGTGAATTTTATTCAATTGAGTGCAAAATTTGTAAATTATTGAGTATATTTGGTTTAAAATAGAGAAAATTAAATTTAATAGAGTCAAATATAATTAATTTTACACATAAATGTAATGGTGTAGATCAAATTTGAAAATGATAACAGCAAAGGATGCCGCTAGAGAGTCTTTTCAAAATGCTAACACTAGCATCTAATTTTATTGACTAATATTGAGTGAATTGGTTTGAAACTAATCAAATTAACTCTCAAATCAATAAAATTTATTGTAATGAGATGAAATTAGGATAAAATCTAGTTATTCCATACAATTTATCATATATTCCTTTCGTCCCAAAAAGAATATCATACTTCACTATTTAAAAATTACGAAACTTTTATTTGTTTGTGCGTTATCATTTATATGTATAACTTATCTTTAATTTCTACATAAAACAAATTTAAAGCATAAAATTTTGTACTTTTTTTCAAGAAGATAATCAATTTTATGAGGGAATGAGCAAGTAATGTAATTAGTTCAAATGGTAAAATAAAAGTAAAAATTTAAA